ATAAACACGTTCCGCTTCCTGAAAACTGATTGCTCTATATCCTTGATTTCTTACAGTTTGCGCATAATGGAGGAACAAGTGCAACAGACTCGAAATGAGATTGCGCAGGCAACCGCCGTCAATAGTTGCCTCCAATTGCAGGACCAGGAGATGGGCATCAACGATTTGGTCAATCAAATTCGGCTGTTGCGTTTGATGCGCCAGAGGGACACAGTCGGACACTCCTCGTCCTCCTCTTCCTCCGCCAACTTTGGATTCCCCAACCAGAATGGTCGGGAAGTCCTCCTCCCCCCGTTGTCCGCCTCCACCTTTCAGCCAATTCGCGATGCACCAAAACACGACCCACTAACCGCTTGTCGTGCTGAGAACGGCGAGACCCCTCCTACCCCCCAGTGGACCAACTCTCCCCTCTTTGATACGCATACTGGGGCGCCCCAGCCCTTGAGTGACCTCGTGGAGGGCGGGGGTGGTCGGGGGCCTCGAAAACAGCAACAACAGGAGCGTCAACAACGACGATTTTAATTTCAAATTGAGATCAGACACTGCTGGCCGTTTGATCGGCATTTCCCTCTCTTGCCATCACACACCCTTTTGCTCCACTCCACTCCCCTTCCAGCCTCTCATTTGACCGCAAGATGAGAAGGCACTTGTAAAGATACCGTTGTTGGCTTCCTTATCAAATACCCCACACACAGGTGCGTACAGAGTCATACCCATCCCCAAAGTTTATAGGGTGAAATCCCTCCTCCTCCTTCTCTTTGACTTCTAGAAACTGAAAGATTTTAGTGATTTTGTCATTTAGGTTGGTGATTCTGTCGGACGGATAGATGTTGTGAAGTGGAATACCAGGAGACCCAGTTCTGCTGCTTTAGAGGCTGATGAAGATTGTGGTGTGTGCGCATTATGTGATATTTGAGCACGACCAGTCTGAAAGCGATAGGTCAGCTCGTTACATTTTGAAGATTCGTAATGATCTAGACCCTACCCACTTCCCTGTTTGTGCTTTTTCACTTCGTTTCCTACTTCATTGTCTTGCATTTGAATCACAATGGTAAACGGTGTTGCCATACATGGAAAGGATAATTTCATACGTTTTAAGAAAAAATCCATTAAATATACTTCTAATTTTATGATTCAGTTGAGTTTTAACCCGTTTCATGTGTGGCGGGTCGTGCCTGGCTGACTAGCTCGCGTCGAAGTGCACTTTCCCAA